TAGAAAGGAAAGCCATGACGAGTTGCCATTACACGCCCATCATCACGGCTAACACAAAACACCGCCCACACCAAATGCTGCGAGCGACTCGGGAAAACTGAGGGCCTCACACAGCGACGACAGGACTGGAAAACGGCACAGCTCCTCTGGGGAAGGAGGCAGTTTCTCACTGAGTTACACACGCATCTACCCTACGACCCAACAGCTGCGCTGCTGGTGTTCGCCCTTGAAAAACGAAGACTTATACTCACACGAAAACCTGTACATGAGTCTTCACAGCAGCTTTACCAGAACAGCCCAAGTCGTCAACCCGGGAACAGGTCGATGAAATGCGGTGCAGACGTCAGAACCAGGCCACTGCGCTGACACAGCCTGAGTGGTTAGGCCACTTCCTGAATTCCAGTCTTTACATTCTTTTTGTTTGTGGTGTGTACAGGTCTAAGGCATTTACCATGTGTAGAACCTCATGTAACCATCACAACAACTGGGACACGGAACTGCTCTGTGACCCGGAAGAAGCTCCCTCGTACGACCCTTTCACAGTGACACCCCATCCCCACCTTAACCTGCCAAAAACAAACCTGTTCTCCATCTCCATAACTTTGTCATTTCAAGAATATTATAGACATGAAATCATGCAATCTCACAGCCCTCTGAAATTGGCTTTTTCTACTCACTACAGTGCCCTTCAGCTCCATCCAAACAGATGCATGTGTCACTAGCATGGTCCTTTCTTTTACGAGTGGGGTTCATTTCATGGCTATTCCGCATTTGACTTAACTGTTGACCCACTGGAGGACACGTATGCTTTTTTCTGGTTTCTGGCTATTACAGACAAAAACCCCACAAACACCATGTACAAGTTCAGTGTTAATAAAAGCCTTTATCCTTCTAGAATGAATATCCAGGGGTACACTGCTGGGTTGTACGTGAAGTATATGTTTATCTTCTTAAGAAACTGCCAATCTAATTTCCGAAGTGGCTTGTACCCTATTACATTACCACCAGCAACATGAGAGGTAATATACATTTGAAAGTCACAATTTCTAAAATGTTTTTTAAAAGCCTGAAGAAAACCCCAAACTGAGCCTTGTGTTATAACCTGATCTCGGTTTTTAAAAAATATGTTTAAAAGCTTTTTCCTGACTCACGAATAAGGGACGTATTACCCCCAACTTATGAGACATCATGTGTGTACTGATGGCTGTTGCCATGTTATATCGTAAACTGCAAAAAAAAAAAAGGTGGAAAACAGCAGCACTGACCTTAGAAAGAGTAAAACTTTCTGTGTCTGTCCCCCAGACAGTCTGCAAAGACCGAAAGTTTAACAGCCATTTGCAGCACTTAAAATTGCGAATGTGATCACAATGCATTTAGACACAGTACTATCAAACAATACTTGATCAGCTGCTACTTGGAAAGACAATGTGAGAGAAGTAACTAACCAGGAATAAAGCTGCAGTCAACGGTCCCTTCGGGGTTCCTGAAACTAGGAGCAGGGTCCAGAGCAAACCTATCTGCCCCACCCGCGACAGCAGCCAGAATGCCGGTCTGCAAGGAAAAGTAAATAAATGCACAGGAAGAAACTCTAAAGCCCCCAACAAAGTGGAATGGTGCATTCCTTGCTCCTAATGACTTCCCAGTTCTCATTTACTCCCTTGAGGAACCGACTATGCTGTTCCAGACACTGAATCCACAAGAAAACGTGTCCTTCCAATAAAGTAGGCATTTGTTTAAAAAGTATATGACAAGTGGTGAGTAAACCATACTTCAAGTTCCCTACAACAATAGTAAAGTGATATAAAACATACCCACGGTTTCTATTGGTGACCAAGTTGTAGGTATTGCTAATTCTACTTGGTTTGTTGTCTGCGTCTGTGATTTAAAGAAATCCTAAATTTCGGTGGGAATAAAAAAAAGTATATAATAGAACACGCCCAAATCTCAAAGTAATAACCCTGCAATTTAATTATATGACTTCCATCCAGTATATCTTCCCACTTACGTGGCTTACTAATAAACACTCCAGTGTGGGTTTAATATCCATCCTAAGTACTAGGCAGTGTGAGCAGTGTCTATCATTTCAAATCCTCCACTGGCTCCCTTCCTATGGGCCGTGGACCTGTGGACGGACAGGCGTTACTGCAGAGCAGCATGAAAATCCCTGCACCTTCGTGAAGACTAAATACATAATATGATTCAGAATGTATTTTTCCCAGCTGACAAAGTGGATGCTGCGGCTAGTAAAATTCTTAGTAAGTTTACTGAAGAATATTATTAAAGTAGTTTCTTATCATTAGTATTTACTGGTGAATATTAAAAATCTAATTCCTATCAGGGAGGAGGGCACACCTCATATCTCTCTAGAGAGCTTTTTTTTTTAAGTGCTGCCCATACATCATCCAGAACAAGAATAATGAACACGCTTGCATTTGAGTGCAAAGATTTACAACACTGAGAGAGATGGAGCAGAAGTAACGGGAAAGTGCATGAAATTACTACAAAACAGCAACCTCAGCCCCGGCCAGTGTGGCTCCACTGACTGGGAGTCCCACAAAGTGCAAGGTCCATTCTGGGTCAGGAGCTTGCCTGGGTTGCAGGTTAGATGTTTCTCTCCCTCTCTTTCCCCCTCCCTTCCCCACTCTCTAAAATAAATAAAACCTTTTAAAAATAAATAAATAAATACAAAACAGTAACCTCAGAATGCTAGGTACTTGAATACATACATTCAGGAGCCCAGGGACGGGGGGGGGGGAGTAGACATAAATAGACATAAAGGACACAACCTTCTATGCATCTTTACAATGACCAGTAAGTGAAGTTTTGGTCAAAAGAGCCAAATATACCCTAGAGTACAAACACATCTTGGTTACACCACCTAGCTGAGTGCTTTGTCAGGATTCTGTCATCTTTCTAAATTAATCTTATATCCTTATCAAAAATGCCTTATTTGCTCTATTTTATCAGTAATAACAATTTTTCAAATGTGTTCTACACATTTACTGACTTCTTGTGTGCTGGATGCTAGACAAGTGAAGTCAAAAAGAGTGACCTCTGTTAATTTAAAACAAAGAAAACTTGCTTCAACAAAACACTAGAACAGCAAGAAGAGACTGCACCTAGCTCTTCTTGACACATACTAGGCACAAGACACCCGGTGACCAGATGAGTTCCTTTCTGCTCTGAAAATAATTTCAGCAAGCAAGTCGAATTTCCAACCAGTCTGAAAATATTCTCCAGTCCTACTCGGTTACCGATACTTTCTCAAACTCCATCAAGACCAACTCTCCTGAAAGCCTCACCCCCCCCCCCACACACACACACACAGATGCAGAATTTAGCTCCCATTAAGTTCACTGCCTGGTATGAGAAGGTATCAGCATTTGCACATTTGTATGAATTCTGGAGTCACCCTTCATTTGATACAAGGTGAATTGTAAAGTTTTGCTTCCTTTTCAGTAAGTTTTATTCTTTAAATCAAAATTCTACTCATAGTCAATTATATCTTAGTAGGAATGGCTTTAAGGAATATGGTTGTCAAAATAAAAATCTTGTTTTTTCTCTTTTAGACATTCACTCATATAGTTATCATTATTTCACATTAGTTCCTTTTAGAAAAATAGTTGGCCTATTCAAAAAGTTTCATTTTGGGAGCTGTCGACATTTTGGATGCATTGCTGTTATTTTTAAACTGTACACTTGCATCCTGGAGTAAAACTTAAGGCAAGCTTTTCACATCACCATTTCCTGGGCACTTACTACCTGACCACAGGCCGGGGTCAATACTTGACACATTACTCCATTATCTCATTTGTTTAACAAATAAATGTCTTCTCATAATTTTTGCAGCACTGAACGTAAAAAGCCATCACACTATAAACTGGATACCATTTTTACCACATACTGGTCCTAATTTGACAGTAATGCTGACCACAAGTTTATTGTTATTAAACTCAAGTTGTTTTACTGTATTAGCCCAGAATGTGACCAGCAATGCTGAGCCGCACAGGCAGACCACGTGATAGCATCGGCAGAAAAAGCTACTTAGGTTACATCCCCTTCTCCAGGTGGCAGATGAACATAACCTTATCTACCCAGAAACTTAACTCCAATTACTACCTGCCATTTTGCACAAGCACAATCATAAAATGCACAATCATTGTGCTGCATAAAATGATTACATAAAGAACAGTTGCTTCCCTCTAAAACTGTAGATTAAATTCTCCCCCAAAGTATCATGCTTAGCATGCCATAAAAAGGTGTCTTTACTCTGAACTCTTAAAAATAAAATGCCGCTCTTTTTTTTTCCACTCTTGCAAATTTCAGAGTCAACAGATAAGCAATTCCGGTTTTAAAAAAAAGAGAAAGGAAACCAAAGAAAGACGCTCTGCAAGAGTTCCCTAAAAGCACCACCCTCTCAAAGCAAAACCGCTATTTCCAAGTTCTTCCGAAAAAAGGAAATGGGGAGGGAACAGAATAGCCGCTAGGAAGAAAGGCAAAAATGGTTGACTTGATAGAGAAGTTAGAAAAATGGGCGGCCTCAGTAGGAACCTAGTGTGTCTGTCTCTGTGTCTCCCAAGGGATTCTGGTGCTGTATATTGAGATCAACTAAGTCACCTAAGAGTATGAGACCAGGGCCCAAAAGCTCTCCCGACGGTAGGAAAAACTGTCTATTGCCCCTAAAGACCTGCATCAGCAAAGGGTGCCGCCCTGCCGGCTAAGGAGATAGAAGACTAGAAGAGGAACTGTCAGAAGGACCCCCAAATCCCTCATAAAACCCCTCGGGTCTCTGCCGCCTGGTGCCTAACCCTCAAATGCAAGCTCCCACCCGGAAGGGGACAGAAGGGGACAGGTGAAGTCCTGAAAGCTAATCCTCGGGAGGACGGACTCCTTCTCCCCTCTCAGGTCTCAGTCAAACGCCACCTGTTCGGAGATGCCACCCCTCGCCCTCACCACCCGAGCCCACAATCGCCTGTACTCGTTTTAAAGCTTTTCGGCACCTGGAATGATCTTATTTGCATCTACTCTTGTTACTCTCCGGCATGTCAGCCCCGTGACAGCAGAGGAATCTCGTCGGTCCAGGCTGGCACAGACCACATCCCTCAATCGGCCCGGGGCAACCAGGACAGGCCGCGCCAAGACACCGCCCAGAACGCGCCACCAAGCCTGAGGGCCAGCCTGGGCGCCTGCCAGGCCCCTGTGGGCAGCCCCGGGCCGCCGCCCGGACTCAGGGAACCAAGAAGGAGAGGACGCGCGCGCCGCGCCGCCCACAGCCCCCGCGGCCGCCCGAAGTCGCGGCCGCCCGAGGTCACGGCCGCCCGGCTGCCTGGCGCCGGGCCAGCCCCCGGGAGCCCGCTGCGCGGCCCCCGCTCGGCGCCCGTGCTCTCGGACTGCGCCGCCCAAAGCCTCCCTACCCAGAGTCGCAGAACCGTCGCCTTCTTCCTAGTATGAACTTCCCGCCGCTTTCGCCGACTCGCAATTCCGCTGCGGCGCCGGCTCCGTCGCACTCCGCAGTATAGGGCTTTCCCATTGGCTCGGCGGTGAGAGGGAGAGGCGGGGCGAGCAAGAACTTCCTGAAGTGGGGCGGAGCCTGCTCTGGAGCAGCGGCCTCCGTTGGAATGCCGGGAGGAGCCAAGGGCCCGCGCTCCCATTGCATGCTGGGAAATGGAGTGTTTCTCAGAACAAAGAGGATCACAATCCCTCTGGCCCTAGGAAATGTGGTTTACACGCTCTGAGTCAGTCCTGCTCAGAGGCTGTACGCCTCAAAGCAGTATCACCGAAATAATTATTACCAGTGTTCGCAGCGGCTTGACTCATTAACTTAGTGTTGACAACGGCTAGGATATAAAAGTAGTCCTATGTTCCCATTGGCTGAGTGCCTTCTTAACTTGAACTTGCATTTTCCCACGGCTGGTGCACCACCGTGGAATGCTTTTGTTGCTGTGTACAAGGGCCCGCCTCTGGAAGGAAACAGCCCAGCCACTAGTTCAAACCCTAGCACTTTCACATTGTAGCGCTGTAACCTAAGTTTTAACCCCAGGAGTCTCGGTTTCCTGTTTCCATCAGGATGCAATAAAGTAATCTATAGACAGTGCTTTGTGCATAGTAGGTGACCAACAGTAAATAGTATTATGTATATTACTCCGCCCACCCATTGCCATGTGTCAAATCCCACCTGTCTTTCATAGCCTCTTTCAATGTCCACCTAACCTTCTCTAGTATTTTATCTGCAATTCTCTTATGCTACAGTTTGCTTTGTACTTACAGTCAGTTGCCTAAGCCTCCATCCCACCTGAGACTGTGCGCTGATTGGGGAACACTATTCTGTCCAAACACCAAAGCCACAGGCAGAGGGAGATCTGCAATGAAGCCTCACTCGCACAAGTCCCTTCCAAAGCCCCGGGAAGGTCCCTAACAGTGAAGTTACACGTTTGTTTGGGTTCAGGGTTTGGTTGCTTGGTTTTGGTTTTTGTATTTGCCATGAAGGACATTTTTGTATCATTTTGTATCATTTTGTATCATTTTGTATCATTGGAGCTTACGCAGACCTCCAACACTGGGTAAGCTCTAGTCCCCACAAAACCTGAGTCGCTCTGTCCATGGGACAGTGCAGCATCGTCTGTGATGACTGACATTTGCCCCTCCAGATACCCTCACCAGCCGGCCCCCACCTCCACCAGCAGGAGTCCCACAAGACTCCACAGAAAGACACAGGGTCCTGAGGGTAGGTGTTCCCTCTGATGCTCGTTGGCAAGGTCACCTCCAACTGGTTAGCTCCCTTAGCTGAAGGCTCCTGTTCCCTGGCTCTCGCTCCAGCTTGTGGTAACAGCCCCTCCCTCCTCCCTCCCTTTGTGCCTCAGATCTTCAAATGAAAAACCAAGGGCTGTTGCTGAAACCCAAGTTCCTGTTCCATCCCTGTGGTTTCCACCCCCACACCTTGGATAGTAGTCTCATTGCACATAAACCTTCCTCAAATTATCCTCTTTCAAATGTGTTGTCTGCTTCCTGTTGAGACCCTGATGGAAAGACATCCACAAGGTAAGCACTTAATGAACATTTGTCTGCAAAGGGGTCTCAGGACTCACACATCTAATGAGTGTGGAATTCCTCAGCAAGACTGTGGTCAGAATCCAATGAGAGAAAGACATTCTACACACATGTTTACACACACTCACACGCCCACATGCATGCTAAGAAGCCTTGGAACAGAACTTATCCATCACATTGTGACCATGTTCCCTTCACCTCACCATACACATGCAGAACACTGTCCTGGCTTTCACACTGGGTTGACGATTGGCTGACCTTAAAGCACCGTTAAATCAGAGGCAGTGCACCAAGTATTCCAAGGTAAGAATGGAATGTACTGTGCTGGGGTTTGGGGCTCCCTCACCCTCAGCAGGATGGCTTACTGTTAAACGCTGCTTAAATGCACCTATGTTCCAAGGGAGGTGTCAACGCCTCTAACACCACTCACGCATGCCGAGATGTCTGTCTTACCCGTGCTGAGTGTGGCAGGACACCAGTGTAAGCCGCCATCGTGGAAACAGCATATCTGAGGGCTGTAGGTGAGGATACAACTCTGGGACATAGGAGATCCTCAACGAATTCAGATGAGTAGACTGCTTGGCATGAAGATCTGTGTTGTGCAGAAGGCTGATCAGGGAGGACTTGCTGTGTGGCTGGGCTTTAGAAGTTAAGAATTTAACTAAGGAGGACAGATTCATGAATATAGTCCTGCCCCATCTTCAAAAATATCACTATAGTCTGAACAAATGTTTACTGAGCTCCTACTGTGAGCCACGGATTGCACTAACCTCTGTGGGCTCTGGTTATCCTAATGTTTAAGGAGGCCCTACTATGTGTTAGATACTATACGCTTTCACATGTAGTATCTCAATTCTTAAAAGGAAAAAAAATCTCAAAGAGTTTAAATGATTCCAGGTCTCCTGAATCTGATTCTAAATATTGTTTTTACTTCCTCATTATGTGCAACTTCAGTTCATGAGGAGACTTCTCAGAAAGAAACAATTTCAGTGCTGTGATAGAGATTTGTGAATACTGTCATAGTCAGGTAATGGGTTTCCTGGCTGATAGATCATCATGGATAAAACAAGGTGGCCTGTGAGTGGGTTCAACCCAAGGAATAAAAGTTTCCAGCCACCTAGCAAGAGCAGACCAGCTAAAAATTCATACATGGGGTCTGTGTTGATTTGTCCTTTTTTATTTCCAGAAGCCCCTCCAACCCAGGTAACCCCACACAAAGGCACAGAAAAGTCACAGTAACACAGGGAAGCTCGGGAAAGGGTGGGGAGGTTGCTATAGTCTGGACCACAGAGGAAACTCAGTCTGTGATGTTCAAACATGATCGTCACTGGCAAACAACACTGCCCTGGCAGGTTACCCAGGACGCTGGCTTCACGCATGAGTCAGTTCATGAGTCCTTGGCCTTGCTATTTTCATCTGTAGAAAGGGAACAATCACCCCAGCCCAACCGGTCCTCTGCCTCCCCAGGCCGATTGGGAGGTAGTCAGGCTAATGTATGAGAAGAACTTTGATCTCCCAGAAACAAAAGCTAGGGTATCATTACGCAGTGTCAGCAGTACAACAACAACAACCCAAGATGCACTGCCTCCTGGGAAGAGGGAAAAGGGAGAGAGAGGAGGAGGAGAATGTATCCAGGCGTCTTCTGAGGCCCCTGCCTCCGGTTTCGGCTCCTCCACCCCCTTTCGATGCCATACCTCCTCCCAGATGCCCAGAGCCCTCATTCTCATTTCCAAAAGGACTTCTGAGCATCTACCATGTGCCCATCACAGGGTCCTTCACAGATTTACCATCCAGCGGGAGAGGCAGACATGTAGAGACATGTGGTTGATGCTATCACTGTGAGTTTTGTGAGTGCTTCTGTGTTGGGCAAACTATTTCATGTGACTCCGAGAAGCTCAGTGTCCACACGAGGAGACAAAGCCCCAGAGATTTGGACTGATTTGCTCAAGGCCATGCTGCAGTGACCGGTAGGGGGGTCTGACTCCATGTCACCCCAATATCGATCCCAGCTGCTGGTGGTGGAAAAGGTCACGAGAGAAGAGCTAGCTGAAGGCACAGACTGTGCAGTGAGGGCACAGAAAAAGAGCAAGGCGCCCGCCTGCCAGGAGCAATGTGACTAACAGGATAGTTATATAATCCTGAGGTCAGGTAAATAAAGATACCAGGTGCAGAGTTCACAAACGACAAAGAATTTACAATATATTAAAATGAGCTTTGGGGCCACACAAAAAACAAAGAAGGTTTGAGGTCACAAGCCCGGGTCTTGACTGACACAGAAGACCAAACATTTAGCCACTCTCCATACCGCGTACAACATTTGCTGTGTTTATAGCTTCCAAGCTCGTTCTCAAGACGCCGTCGTTACTTGTCTTCCCCAAGTGCTGAGAAACTAACGGTACCGGAAGGTGTAATGTGTGTGCTTCCGAGAATGACTGAATTGTTTCACGGTGTGCTGGCGAAGCTCCCTGAGCGGAGGGTGACATGAGCTCTCTGAGTTGGGCCACTCTCTGCCCACGTGTCAAGAGGATTGGCGGGTCTGGTCTACAGATGCTCGGCCCTCGTTTCTCCTCCCTCCTACTCTCCCTTCCTAGTGCAGAGGCTGCAGAGCTAAAACCTGCATTTCCCAGACACCCTAGTGCTTAAGGCTCTGGATGCAAATTAAGTTTCATCCGTTAGATTCCTCAAGGAAGGCGTGAAGGGCAGCCTGAGGTGCCAGTACCGCTATAGAGCTGTGGGATTCCTCTGCAGCCGGGTCCAGTGCTCGGTGTCTAACTTCGTGAGCATCAGAAGGCAGTTGTACTGGTGCCTGTAGCAGCTTCCTGATCCCTGGGGGCAGATACAGTTGGGAACTTGTATAGTAAAGAATTTAACCTTGCTGCAAAAGGGCTCTGGCCTTTGTCCTCAGCCCCTGGGAGGTGGTCTGTAAGGCCAAGGGATGTCACGCCTAATAGGAGTATCTTTGCTCGCCTGGGAGCCTTGAGTCACTGATGTGATTTGGGGCAGGGGCCGGTCATGCCAGAAGGACCAATGATGCCATGGGTGGTCGGGTCTTTGAGTCGCTCAGTATCAGTCGACCCGTGAAGGACTAGAGATGGAGATCAGCC